ATTAGCATATCTGTTAGCTCTGTTATTATTGTCAATAGTATCATAAATACTATAGATTTTCTTTAATTATAATTTTTTTATATAAAGGGCATGAAAATGCTTTAGAAAAAGGACAAATTCCAACAAGATCCTAACATTGTATTCAATATACATTTAATAACAATAATAATAATCTTAACATTTTGCAAATATAAAACTTATAATTTATTCTTGTTAACTAAATAAACTCTCTAATAAATAGCATGTCAAGTTTGATTGAATTTAAGTCATAGCTATTGTTTTTCTGACTTCAAATCATAGTTAACTTATTCGATGAAAAGAGTAATGTTAACAACGCTTATTTGAAAAAATTCCTTTATATTTATTTATTGCATTTTAAATAAATTGCTTCTATATCTTAGAAAAAAACTACCCATTATAATCATTTTAATTCTTTTACGATTAGAAACATTCCAATTAAGGTATGAATCAATTAATTCTCCTTTTAAAATAATAAAATATATAATGTATTAATTGATTAATTTTATATTAATTAAAAATAAAAAAAAAATTAAAATTTAATTTACTGATAATAAACAAATAAATCAGCAGTCCTTTATTATTAGAATCAGAATTTAAAGTTTGAGATACTTCATATAAAAATTCATGAAAAAAAGCTGATATACAGCTCTGTCATCTTGTTTATTAACATTTAAAACATCTGCATGATACAAAGTAGAATTTGGCAATTTAGACAATTCTAATACATGACCAAAACTATAGATGAGGGACAAAACCCCTTAATAACAGTCGAAACTTAGACGAAACTATATTAAAAATCATAATAAGAGATATGACGAAATCTATTCAATACGACGAAAGCTGAAACTGTCGAAACTATATTAAAAATATAGAAAAGGGTATGACAAAATTATTTTGAGGAAGTTTCGGCAGACATCTATAATCAAAACCCAAGAAACTATTTCCAAAAGTTAGTATTCAAGCATCACTAAAAATGCTATTTCATCCATTTTTTTCATATGTTTCAGATTTGAAATACAAACAATAGAACCAATATTTGGAATTACAAGACAATGTAATTTAATATCTAAATAAAAAGTTATTAATAATAATGACAAAAAGATTTATATCAAAAATAAATTGATTATATATACCATATAATTCATCAATAAATTCAAGTTTCATTTCAGTATTAGTTTGCATAATATTCTTTTGTACTTTAATTTCTATTGATGTGCTATCAACTCCAATTGATAATATATGAATCTTAAAATATGCAGTAAGATTTAAAACTTGATTATGGATTTCATATACATCAGATATATTTTTGCTATTATTTGAAATAATTTCAAGTACAAACGGTAGTACTTTTAGAACTGATACTTGTAAAATGTATATATAAACATATTTAACTATTGCATTATTATTTTGAATCTTTTTTACAATAGTGTCAATTTCATTATAAGAAGATATTAAAGTTTCTTATAATGGTAATGTAGACTCAAGGATAGCACTTAAACTTGCAGAATAGCATAACTTTTCTTCAAGTTTTGTATTATCTATTGATGCAGTGATTGGTCCATCATAATTAATGCTATTTAAAAAATTTCTAAATTTAGCTAAGCATATTGACGGATCATCAAGTACTAAATCTGATTGAGCATATACACTATGGATATATATTTACCGAATTGTTCTTCCTGTAAGATTTTTTTTGAAAAATTGCATATGTTTGTGAACTACTGCTTGCTAAAATAATTAAAAAATTGGAAAATTGTTCAGGATATTTAATGTTTTGAAACTCCTTTCCTTCATTAATACGATTTGTTATTTTCACAAAAATTTCACACAATCCAGAAAAAATTTGTTTGTCCTTAAATGCGCTAGCTCGTCTCATTCTTGCTAACTGATTCCAAAATTTGGGAGTGCAATCTTCAGGATCATTGAAGTATTCTAATAATTCCATGATATTTGCATTTTTACAATATTGATAAAATGGAGAATTCTTATAAAGAATCAAAGGTGTATATTTCGGTTTTTTCCTTTAGAAATTGGTTTATCAATCGCATTCTATTTAATAATAAATATTTGCATATTATAAAACATAATTTATAAAAAAAATTTATTATCAGAAAAACTGATTTTTTTCAAATCAAGACATTGCCGGCAAACTTTATTAATTCCATCAATATATGTTGAACATTCAGTACTTCTAACACAAAAAGTTGCACTATTATTAATCCACTTTGCTCGTAATCGTAAAGTATCTAAAAGTTGATTATTTT